AAGCCCGAAGCCCTCAAACCCTAAACCCTACAACCCTAGGCCAAGCGGCTTTCGAATCCCTGCAAAAGAATGCAGAATCCTACTTTTGAATTCTCTGACCAACTCTCTCTTGATGTCACGAGGAGAATGCCTTACTGTAAATCATATTCAGAATCCCGTCATAGTTTAAGGCATGTTCCTTAATTAAGGGGTATTGGGCTCTCTGGGTAACCCTAGCCCCGAAGCTCCCAAGAAAACCCATTAGGCCCTTTAAACCATAAATTTCCTAAACCCTAGCTGGTTTAGGGTTTAGGGTTTGGGATTTAGGTTTAGGGTTTAGGGGTTAGGGTTTAGGGTTTAGGGTTTTAACCAATGAAAGCGAACACGGAGCAGAGGTGGATCCTGAAACGGGACGTCCGGTTCGGCCCGACCCGCCTTGCACCCGGCTGCTGAAGTCGTCAGGGAGCAGGTTTGGGTTTCTAGTTTGTGGTTGATTATTTTCTCCACGGTATGTTTATATATATATATATGTTTGTCTTTTCATTTTGTTTCTGGGGCGTAGGCTAGGGTTTAGAGTTTGAGGTTGTTGGTATAGGGGTTTAACGGCTAGGGGTTTAGGGTTCACAGCCTTGGCGGTTTTGGCTCGGGGGGGGACTTGTAGCATTTTGGGAGAGGTTTGTGCTTCGGGTAAACTTCGGGGTTAGGGAGGGTTGAGGAGGACTGGTGCGTGCTTTAGGGTTCAGGGTTTTCGGGCAGGTGCTCTTACCGAGTCGCTGGCGGGTCCAATGATACAAGAAAGGGTCTGGAAGGGCCCTCCGACCCTCCGTTGCCTCTGGCCCCACCCCAGAAGTCCAAGCATTCAAGGGTTCCAACTTCGTAAAGATTGCCCCCCAATTTGCCAGAGTGTGCCCCCAAGTGACCCACGTGATTCCAATGAGCCCAACGCAAACCCTAAACCCTAAACCCTAAACCCCAAGTCTCCCCAGTCCCAGGCGTGCCAAGCCTTCAAGTGCCCTGAAAGTTTGCCAAAAGCTGCCAACAGCGTCCCAAGTGTTCCATGTGACGCAAAGGGTCCCACGTATTCTGAGCGCTTCAACTGTCCAAGTGTCCCAAGTGGCCCCTTGGTCCCTTAAACGCATTTCACCTGTGAAGTCGGAATGGCTTTGGTTTGGTTTGGGCTGGCTCCGGTGTGGTTCGCAGCGCGTTTGTTATTGGGTGGAAATTGGGGTGGGCATGTCTGCACACTACCTGCGTTCAGCTGACCAATACACCCAAGCCCTAAACCCTAAGCCCTAAATCCTAAACCCTTTATGAATCCTAAACCCTAAACCCTAAACCCTAAGCCTTACGGGGGGTTAGAGCTCCAGGCTGCAAGCTCCCAGGGTTTGGCTAGGGATAAATCAGGGTTGAGGGTAGTAGTAGTTTATGGTTTAGGGTTTTGGGTTCCGGGGTTTAGACCCTCTAGACCCTTAGCCCTAGCCCTAAAGCGAAGTGTGCAGTTGAGGGTTTAGCCGGAGGCGAGAGCGGCGGTTCTACAAGACGCGCTCGACCTTGACAATGGGCACCTCGGCTTTGTTCAGCTCAGGGTTAGGGAACGGGTGGGTGGGTGGGTACCTTAGGGACCAAACGAAGCCTGAAATTGGAGGTCATGTTCCCTTACTACCATAACTCCCGTTCAGGTATATGAACCATAAACCTTTGTAGGGCTCATTTCGTCCCCAGGGCAGAGTCTACTTGGAGGTTCATGGTGCTTATTAACCAATTATCACTGTACCTATAACTGTACTTATAACCATACGGCACTTGGTCTTTAAGTGGGTCATAGATACAGATATAATTTGATATAATTTGTTAGTAAGTACCATGAACCTCCAAGTAGCGTTTTAGGTGGACCCTAGGCCTAAACCCTAAACCCTAAACCCTAAACCCTAAACCCTAAACCCTAAACCCTAAAGCCTAAACCCTAAACCCTAAACCCTAAACCCTAAACCCTAAACCCTAAACCCTAAACCCTAAACCCTAAACCCTAAACCCTAGTCCAGCTCTTGCTCTCTCTTTATGTCCGCAAGGCTTCCGCCCTCGGTCTCAAAAGGTGGTTGTTTGTCGGGTTGGGGTTTAGGGTTTAGGGGTTAGGGTGTTTTGGGTTTAGGGCCTAAACCCTAAACCCTAAACCCGCTCCTGGGCTTTTCCAAGGCATCATAGACGGCGTCTACTCGAACCCGGCTCGCAAGGCCGGCCTCCTTTCATGGGTTCCCCTACTACCCCCCTCTATACCCGAAACCCGAAACCCTAAACCCTAAACCCTAAACCCTAACACCCCCCCTAGGTTCCCCCCATAATCAAGGCTTTGGGTTTTTTCTTAAGGGGCGAGGGTAGTCTAGAGGGGGGAAGCAGGGGGAACCCATGACCTTCTTTGGATCCGCAGACGTGTAAACCCTAAACCCTAAACCCTAAACCCTAAACCCTAAACCCTAAACCCTAAACCCTAAACCCTAAACCCTAAACCCTAAACCCTAAACCCTAAACCCTGGCTTAGGGCCCCTTTTGCGCCACAGGGCTGAGGGTTTAGGATGTATAGGATTTCGGGTTTAGGGTTTCGGGTTTTTGAACTTAATGGGGTTTTGCCGCTTTATAGGCTTAGGGGTAGTTAAGGGCCGTCAACCCTCCTCCCTGAAGACCGGACGGCCCAGATTTCTCCTAAACCCTAAACCCCGAAACCGTTTGGGCTCCACTGGTTTTCCCGCAAAGCCGCACCTGGCAACCAGACACCCAATCCTAAGCCCCAAAAACCCCAAGCCCTAAACCCAAACACGAAACCCCGAGGCAAAGCCAGAGATTTACATGGCGCAGCGGTATGGGGTGCATGCTGCCCGGGCCCCTGCGTTGGCCTTCGACCAGCAAGGGGGAGGGCTGTGAGGCGTTATGGCAAATTGGGGTTCAGGGTTTAGACGTATTAGGGTTCAGGGTTTGGGCTTGGGGGTTTCGGGTTTGTCGGATTTAGGGTTTGCAGAATTTAGGGTTTAGGGTTTATGCCGGTCTTGTTGAGAACGCTTGACTGCGATGTCCGTGCTTGAAATATGCTGCATCGTGCCGATACTCACAGCGCGACTTCTTGGGGCCCTTGCTGGGCCTCAATTGTGGTGTAGCTCAGTGGTACCCATTTGCTTTTTTTCCTTATAAGGTAACCAACTCCCAAAACGGCACCCTTATCATAACATGGTTACTGGGCTACACGCAGTTGAAGTGTACCACTAAACCCTAAACCCTAAACCCTAACTCCTAGACCCTAAGCCCTAAACCCTACATAAACCCTAAACCCTAGAGCTGCTCAGCAAGGCGCACCCGATCCACTTTCCGGGTCGATATACGCCTTCCGCCTGCCGCGTCGACAGCACTGGGGACTTGTCGGCCGGGAGCTCGAGACATGTAAGGCGCATGGGTTTAGGGTTTAGGGTTTGGGGTTTAGGGTTTAGTGTTTGAAGCCCTAAGCCCTAAGGCCTGGCACCTTAACTCGACAGCCTACAACCTGAACCCTAAACCCGAAACCCTACTTGAGCGGTTGCTTGTTTGGTAGACCCTCTGGTCCCGCACTGCTGTATGCGAGCTCCCAACAAGGCAGTCTCCACGCGCTGCCCAGTATCAGTTGGTCTACAGGAGCTAAGCCCCTGAACCCTAAACCTAAACCCTAAACCCTAATCCCTAAACCCTATTAAACCCTTAGCCCTAAACCCTAAACCCTAAACCCTAAACCTAAACCCTAAACCCGAAACCCTGAACCACTCTGTTCGGGCAGCGGAGAGGGGTGCAAGGAGCCATACACCAAAGACCGAGCGGCCTTTAGGGCTGAGGGTATATTATAAACTTCGGGTTTCCCCCTTAGGGTTTAGGGGTTTTCAGGGTTTTCATAAGGGTTTAGGGCTCCAACTGCAGGGAAGTTCGCGCAGAACCTGAGTGACAGCGCCACAAGTGTTGAGTTTGAGACGCCCCTATGCAGCCATCTGGCTCACAGAAATCCGGCGATGGGTCGGTCAGCACAAGCAAAAACCCAAATCAACTTGCCCAAAGCCCCACCTAAGACCGCTAGCCGAATAGCTGAAAAATCCGAACGAGCACGACAAAGAAATGCCTTAGCCCTACACCCTATATACACTAAGCTCTAAACCGTAAACCCTAGACCCTCAACACTGCACCCTAAACCCCTAAACCCTAGCCCAATCATGAATCCAAAGCCCTAGAAGCCGTACGGGCTTAAGGTTCGCTTCGCGCGGCCCTAGGGTTGAGGCCTAAGGGCTCTGTATTTCAGGCAAAGCAAACTTCTGGAAGAAGACCACTCAAAGTGCTCCATGCCTGAGCCATTGCCTCTGACATCGAGCTGAGTGTCGACCAGGTGGCCGCCTGAATCAGGCGGCTGGAGCCCCCCTAAGCCCGAAACCCTAAACCCTAAACCCTTAAACTCCCGAAAACCTTCAGGAGCCTCAGCCCATACGCCCAATAAAGCCTTGAAGCCCTATACCCTAAACCCTAAAAAGCCCAAAGCCCTAAACCCTGCCATGAATCCCCCTCCCCGCTAAGTACGGCTTCGGGAGGGCACAACGGTACCTTATGGGTCGTTGTATTAGGGTTAGGGTCTAGGATTTAATTGGTTGAAGTGTGTTGAGGGCCTTGGCTGGCCCTAGCCGGGGCATTCTCAAGTGTGGACTCTTCCGAGCCCTGGAACGCTAGACCCGAACGCTTGGTAGCAACCACAGCTCTTAGACCAGTAGGTGGTACCTTAGGCCCACCCTAAACCCCAAACCCTAGAATACGAAACCCAAACCCCAAACCCCTAAATACTAAACCCCAAACCCTAAGCCCCAAACCCAAACCCCAAACAATAAACCCCAAACCCTAAATCCTATACCCCAAACTCTGAACCCTAAACCCTAAACCCTGCTGAAGAGTCAATCACCTCTACCTTGTTTGGCTATTGGAACCCCCACCTTTGGAGGAGTACTTCAACACTTCTATCCTGCACCAGGAGGATGCCGCTGAACTACTCCAAGTCTCGGACTGAGTGCGTTCAGGGTGTAGGATTTAGGGTTCATGATTTAGGGTTTAGGGTGGAGCTTTCAGGGTTTATGGTTTAGGGTGTAGGGTTCAGTGTATAGGGTTTCATGCTACACAAGCTGTCCCCTCCAACTCCAACGTGGCATCGTGCCATTGAGTATCCATTGTATGCTGCACACCCTGAAACCCTAAAACTGTCGTGTTGTTGGGCTCTGCTTGGGTTAGTAACCCAATTATAGCTGCACTTATAACACCCATTATAACCCTACTAGGGTACTTAAGGCGCTTATATGTGGGTGGTAGCTATAGTTATAATGAGTTACTAAGTACCCTGAACCTCCAAGTAAAGGGGCTGGCAGCACCGGCCTGCACTTCGTCGGTCATGGTTTGCCTTCGTCTCTTTCTTGCTAAAATGGGGCATCTTCCCGAGTGGGGAGGGGTACCCAAGATATAGCCCCCAAGATACGATAGTCTGCTTATCCGAGCACCCCCAAAGAATGGTACAAGCTATGTCGGAACCCCCCCCCCCAAAAAAAAAAAAAAAAAAAAACTTCTCCACACACTGTACTCGCATGGCACAGGCCCCCAAGTCAACAAGAACTGCAGCCCCGAACTCCAAGTCCTACTGTTAGGCACAACTTAGTACGTGTTAGCGCAGATGTGAGGAAGCAGGAAAAGAGGTCGAGTTCACGAATCATGCATCCTACTAGATGAGGCCTTAAGCCCACACCCCAAACCCCGAACCATTCCGGTGGACTCAAACCCTAAACCCTGAACCCTAAACCCTAAACCTAAACCCTAAACGGCCCTAAACCCTAAACCCTAAACCCTACTTTAAACCCCCCAAACCCCAACCCTAAACCCCAAACCCCAAACCGGCCCGGTTTGGCCTTGTGCGTGCAGAGGTTTGATCACCTCGTGGACTCGGATGACGAGAGGCCCGACCCCAAGGCCGACCAGCCGCATTTCAAAAGTGAGGGGTTTAGGGTTTAGGGTTTGGGGTTAGGGTTTAGGGTTTGGGGTTTAGGGTTTAGGGTCTCAGGGTTATTTGGGCGCCCAAAAGATACGCCCGAAGATACCCAAAGCTTAAACCCAACCCTGCCACACCTCAACCCTTCACGCACTATCAGCCCCTCAAGCCTGTTGAAACACAATTTAGGTCTACGGCTTAGGGTTTTCAAGGGCTGCGGGTCGCACACCGGACATCCGCATCAAAAGTTGCGCCATCAAAAAATAGCGGGAACCCGAAACCACGGTCTCTTGACCCTAAACCCTAAACCCTAAGCCCTAAACCCCAAACCCTAAGCAGGGTCGGGGAGAGCTTTGGAAGCCCTCGACTTGTCTGGGCTTCGCGATTAGGGTTTAGGGTTAGGGTTGATGATTAAGCGGGGTTGAGGGTTGGGTTGAGGGTTGAGGGTTGAGGGTTCGGGTCGAGGGTTGAGGGTTGAGGGGTTGAGGGTTGAGGGGTTGAGGGGTTGAGGGGTTGAGGGGTTGAGGGGTTGAGGGGTTGAGGGGTTGAGGGGTTGAGGGGTTGAGGGGTTGAGGGGTTGAGGGGTTGAGGGGTTGAGGGGTTGAGGGGTGGAGGGGTTGAGGGGTTGAGGGGTTGAGGGGTTGAGGGGTTGAGGGTTTTTGGGTTGAGGAGCTGAGGGTTGAGGGTTTGGGTGGGCGGCGGCGGGGGGGGGGGGGGTTGATGCCAGTTTAGGGTTTGGGGTTTAGGGTTTAGGGTTTAGGGTTTAACCCTAAATCCTACACCCCACCCGTTCGCCGAATCATGCGCGTCAACTCCAACTCTCCAGGCGCGAGCCCTTGCGGAGCGGCAGAAGATGTACGACGAGATGCAGAAGCAGATGGAGGCAGCTGGACCGAAACTCCAGGGTTCAGGGTTCAGGGTTTAGGGTTTCGGGTTTAGGCTTAAAGTTTAGGTTTTAGGGTAGGGGTTCTTAGCCCGAGACCCTAAACCCGCTACCCTAGAGCGGAAGAAAGGAGTCAAGACTTAACCTCAACTAAGTTGCAATATTAGAGGGTTGTAGAGTAAACAGCAAAGCATCCCTTATGGGGAAGCTTCACTTAAGTTCCTGAGCAAAAGCCCAGAAAAGCCCGAGGTTTTAAGATCCATCCGCGACCCCGGGTTTTGGAGTTTCAGTTGGGGTTCCGGGATTTGGGATCCGGGTTTACGCCTGGAATTTTGTTTTATGTTTGGTCACATAAATGCAAGGGAATATTGAACTGTAAGGGTTGAAAAGTGGAGTACAGGTTTTGGGGTTTTAGGGGCTCTGGGCCAGGATTTTATAGCTCTGGGGTTTGGTGCATTAGAGTCATTAGGGCACCGGGTTGTGGGGGTTTAGCTTGATTTTTTTTTGTTTAAGGGGGAGTTTGGGCTTTAGGCCTTTTAGGAGCTTAAGGCTTCACAGCTTTGGGGGTGTTTAAACTGTACAGGGATCCTTAATCTTATTTTAGGTATTTTCCTTACCAAAGGGAATTGGGCTCTTTTGGGGGGGGTTTGTAAGGGTAGCTAATGGCCCTACTCCTAGCTACTAGAACAAGGGGATTTCTGGCACAACACACCAGACGAGTCTTCCAGCCGTTGAGTTTAGGGTTTTAGGGTTTAGGGTTTGGGGTTTAGGGCTTAGGGCTTAGGGTTTAGGGTTTAGGGTTTAGGGTTTATACCGAGGCTTGTGGGTCTTGGGTTTAAGTATTGGGGTGTAGGGCTTTGTTTTGGGGCTGTTGACACCACCCCAAGTCCCTCATCTCTTCCGCGAGCAGGAAAGACGGACTGCAGAGCGAGAGCAGGTGCGCAGCCCTGGGATTTTAGGGCCAGGGTTTAGGGTTTAGGGCTTAGGGTGATTTGGGCGGGCATGGTCTTTCGGTATTCAGAAAGAGCTTGCGTTGCACATGTAGACAGACATCAGCCTTCCACACGAACTGAATTTGACTGCCAACCATTTAAACAATGTGGGGGGGGGGGGTTCCGAAAATAGGGGTACCCTTTTTGGGGTTCCTTTGAAGGATTATAAAGTATTTTGGGGTCTTTAAGCAGTACCCCTATTTTCGGAAATCCCCATGTGAGGGCACAAAGCGAAGCAACCATTCTAAACGACCTGTCGCTCGACTTTGCGAAGTCATCTGGTGGTCAGTGCTGCATGTCTACTTGCATGTGCTAACCAAGGAGACCTCTTGAAGTCAGAAATCATACAGGGTGTTTAGAAATGTGCACGTTCTGTTCAAGGATCAGCTGTTATGGCACTATCATGCAATGGCTCAGGGCTTGATGGTTAAGCATGTAGAAATAAGGGGGGGACCCTAAAACTCTAAAACCCTAAAACCCTAAAATCCTAAACCCTAAAACGTTGTGAACTCTAGGAGTTATGGTTTGGAGGTTTGCGGCTCGCACGTTCCGACACAAGACCCATGCCCCAGAGCATGGCTGTCAGCCTTCGAAAACCCCCCAAAACCCGTGAAACCCGAACCTTCTGGAAACCCTAAACCCCGACAACCCTCGCCCTCAAACCCCAAAACCCTTCAAGCCTTGTAAAAGCCCGCGAAAGCCTCCTACAGACCCTAGAAGCCTAAGCAGCCAAACCCCCCTAAAGCTCTACGGGCGCAAGTCCGACCAAACCCTAAACCCCAAACCCTAAACCCTAAATCCCAAACCCTAAACCCTAAACCCCAAATCTTAAACCCTAAACCCCAACCCCTAACCCCCTCCCCCCCCCCTTACAAACCCTAAAAAGGCCTAAGCCATGCAGAGGCCGAGGCGGAGAAGCCCTCACACCAAAAGGATCGCTTCGCATACGCGGAGGCCGGGGCATTAAGCAACTGGGTTTAGGGTTTAGGGTTTAGGGTTCAGGGTTTGGGGTTTAGGGTTTAGGGCAGCTCAGTGGTACCCTTTTTGGCCTTGTTTTTGGATTCAGGGTTCCCTGGTTACTGGGCTACCAAGATCCTATACTACTGCACCCTAGCTAGTTAGAAGTACCTTAAACCCGAAACCCTCTATACAAACCCCAAGCCTTGAACGGTAGAAGGGTCTAGGGCGCAGGGCTCAGCGGAATTTGTTTGCTGGGTTTAGTTGTTTGTTTGGTTTCAGGGGGCGTCGATATAGTATAGTACATTCCTGATCGTCTGCCTATAGAAAGTCTCATGAAGGCTTTGAGGCCTTGAACTTAAACCCCTGATGAAGGCCATAAGACCCAGCAGACGAATCAGAGCCCCCCAAAAAGCCTAAAGCCCCAAGCAAGGCTTTCAAAGGTTCAACCCCAAAGCTCTAAAGCCCTAAACCCTAAAACCCCAAACCTTAAACCCAAAACCCTAAATCCTGAACCCTGAACCCTGAACCCTAAACCCTAAACCCAAACACCCTAACGCCCCCCTTCGGGTTGCACTCGGAGGGCGACTGCAGCGAGCTGGCGCGGGAGCTCTTGAAGAGCTGCTCCTTGGGCTGCTATGGGGTCCTTAAGAAAAGGGGGTTCACGGGCTACGAGTTTAGGTTTTAGGGTGCAGGTTTAGGGTTTATAGGGTGTAGGGTTTAGGGTTTATAGGGTGTAGGGTTTAGGGTTTATAGGGTCTAGGGTTTAGGGTTTTGGGGTTTTGGGTTTAAGGTTGATTGACTTTCGGTGTTGTCGTTATGGAGGCCGTGTGCTTATGGAGCATGCAACAAGTGGGAGCGAAAGCCTGACACCCACCTCCATCTTGAATCTGGCTAGTCCTCAAGCCCAGTTGCAAAAGGGTTTAAGGTTTCGTGTTTAGGAGTTCGGGGCCTAGGGTAGGTACCTAGGGTACTAGGAAACCTTAAAGAATCGTAGGGAGGCTGAGGGGGTAGTGGGGAGTACTCAGAAACTTGGGTTACATACCCCCCTTGAAGCCCCCTCCCTTATAAGGACCCTATCGTTGGGATTCACTTCTCTTATGCGAGGAAGTGTAGGTGTAGGGGTTTGCGTCTTTCCCCCCCCCCCCCCCTTCCCCCCAGGCAGTGTGTCAACGCAAAGGGGTTCCAAGGTGAAGGGCAGGAGGTGCAAGATCAAGTGGCCCACACGGCGCCTGGGACCCTGCGATCTTTTCCAAGCTTGCTCGCATTTTGGACGAAAATTAAAATCAGCCCTAAGGGTTTATAACGCGAATTAGTGAAACCCTTTCGGAGTTCTGAGCTTAATTAAATGGTCTCTCACTGTTCGGGTCTACGCTGGGGGCATCATTTGGATGCCCTAAAATTCCTGAGTCCGTGTATGGAGTGCCCTCATGTGTTTAGGTTTTAGTGCTTCGGGTTCTAAACCCCAAATCTTATATCCCTAAACCCTACAGCTCCCTATGAACAAACACTTATAAGGTTTAGGGGCGTATGGGATCGGCCCCAAGAATCTTAATCCCTAAGCCCTACTGCTCCCTATGAAGAAACACTTATAAGGTTTTAAGCGTGTTGGATCGGTGATGCGAGTTGAGCCTGACAAGGCTTGCAGAAGGCCGGCAGTGTGAAGGCGCGTGAGGGTTTGGGTTTAGGGTTTAGGGTTTAGGGTTTAGGGTTTAGGGTTTAGGGTTTAGGGTTTAGGGTTTAGGGTTTAGGGTTTAGGGTTTAGGGTTTAGGGTTTAGGGTTTAGGGTTTAGGGTTTAGGGTTTAGGGTTTAGGGTTTAGGGTTACCTTTAAACCCTATAGACCACAAGCCCTACACCCCCAGACCCACCAGCCCTTAAGCCTAGGGTTGAGGGTTTAGGGTTTAAGGTTTGGTGCTCAGGGTTCACTGCACGGGTACAGTCCAGGTTTCGGGTTCTGGTTCTGGGCTTCGGGTTTTGGTGTTGGGTTTTGGGAGTTCGGGTTTCGGGTCAGTATGGAAGTAATGGCAGCTGAAAACGGAATACTTCCCTTCAAGCCCACAAAAAAACCTGTACCCTCCTAAGCCCTAAACCCTAAACCCTAAACCCTAAACCCTCAACCCTCAACCCTGAACCCTGAACCCTGACCCAAACCTCAAGCTCCCTCAAAGACGAACTCCGACGGGGCTTGTTGGCCGAAGGGATTGAAACCCTATAGGCCCCGAGCCTGGCAACCCTACCTTAGGGTTTAGAGTTTAGGGCTTAGGGTTTAGGGTTTGAAGGATTTAGGGTCCTACAAGTCAAGATGCCCTACAGCTTCAAGTACACGAATGATGCCTATTCTTTGTTGTCTAAATCAGAGTATCATAATTAAACCCTAAGCCCTAGCCCATAAACATCCCTAAGCACTAAACCCTGACCCTAAACCCTAAACCCTAAACCCCAAACCCTAAACCCTAAATCCCAAACCCCAAACCCTAAACCCTAAACCCTAAGCCCTAAACCCTAAACCCTACACCCTAAACCCTAACCCTCTATAAGCTCAAAACCTCACGGGTTTGCGGCACCAGGTTGCCAACGGAGTTCTGTCCGTGGCAGCGGTTGAGAAGGTCGAGGGCGAAGCATCCACCTTCAAGGCGCAACAGAGGGGGATTTAGGTGGGTTTGGGGTTTAGGGTTTAGGGTTTAGGGTTTAGGGTTTAGGGTTTAAGGCCTTAATTGGGGTTTAGGGTGTCGGGTATGTTTACTGTAGAAAGACCCCGGCCCAGATCAACCAAAAAGACCCTGTAAACATTAGATCCATTGCCCTAAAACCTTTCAGAGAGTTGTGTCTACGGAGATGATAGGGCGGTTACTATTCAGGCCTTTCTAGGTCGGTCACACGACAGGGACAGACTCAATGTGGTGAGAGTGAGGATATAGAAGCGACAGATTGTTCTTACCTAAGGACCTTTCCCTATTGTGAAAATTGCACCATGAAGAACAGTCTTTGGAGAGAAAGGGACACAGGCAAAAGGTACTAGTTGGTAGGGAGTGCAGGGCTTAGGGCACGCTGTCGAGATGTTTAGCATTCCAGGGGTCAAAGGGGCCACCCAAAAAGAGTTCATGAAAGGTGTAAGGCAGGTTTGCCCGAGTCCCAAGATGTTTGGAAACCTTCAACCCCAAAATCCTAAGCCCTGAACCCATAAACCCAAGCACCTTCCGAGAGGCTTTGTATGCCATGCCCTAGGCCCTAGGATTCGGTTTCGCTTGCCATGGAGAAGATTTGAATGCGATTCAGACTCCCTAAACCCTAAACCCTAAACCCTGAACCCTAAACCCTAAACCCTAAACCTGAAGCCTAAGCCCCCTGTCAAGAGGTGCGTGGGCAGCCGCGGCACACCTGGGAGTTGAACTTCAAGGTCAAATGGTGCCTGGGGCTGTCAAGTTTGGGTTTGGGGTTTAGGGTTTAGGGTTTAGGGTTTAGGGCTCACGAGGCAGAAGCAAAGTCCCACTTAGCTTGGACCGAACATTCCTTGTGTTCCACCCATATTGCTGTTTGATCGGAACCTGGCTCAGCATGATTCCCACAGTTAAGAGCAAGCCAGCGCAAAAGGAATGGCTGCTTTGAATTGTCTCTTTGCAGAAGCGTTGTGTTTGGGCATTGGCGAGTATCAGGGCGATGTAGACCTGCCACAAGCCAATCTTCAGAGAGCTGGGATGCTTCAACGCAACATCTGCAACCAAAGAACCTTTAACTTCAGAGTCATAGTTGAAGGTCCTAAGGGTGATTTATCAGGACCTAGGAAGGTTATACCAATCATAACCCAAGTTACCCTACTTACCACTCCGGCTATGCCTACCCATGACCTCCGAGTTTGCAAGGGTCCTTCGCCTTGAACCCTAAAGCCTGAACCCTGGGCTTTTTGGGTTTAGGGCTTAGAAAGCAGAGTCCCAGGTCCTTCTTTTATACTGTATTCCCGAAGTTAGCCTTCGGATCCCTTCAGCTTCAGCCTACATTGGGGACGAAATGAACCCCAAAAGGGTTTACGGTTCATATTCCTTAGTGGGAAGTCTAGCAGTAAGGGGCTACGACCCCCGATTTTGGGGTTCATTTGGTCCCCAAGGTAATAGGTTCAGGTTAAGTGAAAGGACAGGTAGAGGTGGGTAGCTAATGGAAGTTACAGTTGAGATAAAGGGAGGCGGGTTCATATAAAACCCTAAACCCTAAGCCCTAAACCCTGAACCCGAAGCGCCCTTAAGAGGCCCTTGTAAGAAGGCAAAATTCCCACCGACCCCTCTTAGAAGACCCTTCTAAGGGAAACTTCCGACCTAAAGCTGCTGTTCTTGAAAGTTAGGGTACCAGACCCTATCGTTTGCTGAGCTACTAAGGATCCCAGAGTTGTTGGGGGTTTAGGGTTTTTAGGGCGTTTGAAGATTTTAGGGGTTTTAGAGTTGTTTAGGGTTTTTGAGGGCTTTTAGGGTTTTGAGGGTTTTTAGAGTTTTTAGGGTCGTTAGGAAGTTAGGATTTACGTGGTTTTAGGGGTTTTAGAGTTTGGGGTTTAGGGTTTAGGCGGTTGGTGCTCATGTCGAACGCGCCCTTGTATCCCCGGTTGGTTTTTGTGAGGCTCGAGAGAATTGCATGAAAGCCCTATGTACCTATAGTGGACACCTATATGTATATATACATATATAATATATATATATACAGAGCACTTGGGGCCCTAAAGCTACTATATGGGAACCCCTGTCAGGCCCAAGTGTAGAAACTACATAGACGATATAAGCACATGGACCCTTCGAGAGGTCCAAGACAGCAGGCTGTAAAGCCTGAAGACGCCACGAAAGGCAGGAGTTACGCGGACAGCACGTCACGGACATCTGATGTAGGGAGTTTAGGGTTTAGGGTGTATGGGGCTTCGGGTTCAGGGTAGTTTGCCGGGGGGGCTTGCGCACGATGGCCCTCACGATTCAGGTAAGCCTGCTGAGCGGCAGGACGGCTTCTGTGGAAGCAAAGCTGGTCGAGTCTGTAGGTGCCTTGAAGTGCAGAGCTCAGGAGTCCCTGGCAGTTGGTAAGGGCAGACTCCTGGATTCCTCCGGAGGCGTTCTGGACGAAGCAGCCACACTTGAGGAGTCTGGGCTGCGGAACGGTGATCTGCTGACTTTGCAGCTGAGCAGCGTTCAGGTCCGCGGCAACGACTGTGCTTTTGCTACCATTCTGAGCGATGGGTCTGTCGTGACCTGGGGCGATCCTGGCGGCGGTGGCGACAGCAGCCCTGAGCAAGCTCAGCTTAGGAACGCCCAGCAGATCCAATCTACCAGCGATGCTTTTGCTGCCATTCTGGAAGATGGGTCTGTCGTGACTTGGGGGGATGCTTTCGTTGGCGGCGACTGCAGGGATGTTCAAGCTCAGCTGAGCAATGTGCAGGAGATCCAAGCTACCAGCGCGGCTTTCGCTGCCCTTCTGGGCGATGGGTCTGTCGTGACCTGGGGCCATGATGAATCTGGTGGAGACAGCAGTGCTGTTCAAGGTCAGCTCAAGAACGTGCAGCAGATCCAAGCTACCCCCACAGCTTTCGCTGCGATTCTAGGCGATGGTTCTGTCGTGACCTGGGGCCATGCGCAGTTTGGCGGCGACAGCGGTGACGTCCAAGGTCAGCTGAAGCACGTGCAGCAGATAGCAGCATCTGACTACTCTTTTGCTGCTCTTCTGCATGATGGGTGTGTTGTAACATGGGGCGATGCTCATTATGGAGGTGACAGCACCGATGTGCGAGATCAGCTCAAGGACGTGCAACAAATCCAAGCTACCAGCAGTGCCTTTGCCGCCATTCTGGGCAATGGGTCTGTTGTAACCTGGGGCAAGGCGAACTGTGGCGGTGACAGCAGCACTGCGCGACCTCGCCTGAATGGCGTGCGGGAGATCCAAGCTTCCGACGGGGCTTTTGCTGCCATTCTGGACGATGGCTCTGTTGTGGCCTGGGGCCGTGCAGAGCAAGGTGGCGACAGTAGTTGTGTGCAAGGTCAGCTGAGGCACGTGCAGCAGATCCAAGCTACCGGTGCAGCTTTCGCCGCCATGCTCGCTGATGGCTCTGTCGTGACCTGGGGCAACGTTTACAATGGTGGCGAAAGTAGTGCTGTGCAAGGTCAGTTGCGAGACGTCCGGCAGATCCAAGCATCTGATGACTCTTTTGCTGCCATTGTAGGCGATGGGTCTGTTGTGACCTGGGGCGATCCTCAGCTGGGTGGCGACAGCAGTGCTGCGCAACATAAGCTGAAGGGCGTGCAGCAAATCCAATCCTCTCTTGCGGCTTTTGCCGCAATTCTTGGTGACGGGTCGGTTGTGACCTGGGGCAGTGCGCGCCATGGCGGGGACTGCGGGGATGTGCAACAGCAGCTGATGAACACGTAGCGCGAAGCACAGATGCTGCATGTCGTTGCGCAGCACTTGGCAGAAATGGCGCGTGTCATCCTGTCATCCTCCCCTGAAATGGCCCTACAGTCAAACATCGTCGTAGCGCAAGTTAAGCCCTGTATCCCTGAATCGCGTTCGATCCAGCCCCAAGCCCTCAACGCTGGAATCCTCAAGCTGTCAATCTGTTACTCCCAACCCTCCGACAGCGCTCCACAGTCAACCCTCATTCGCTCAACCCGAAACCCTAAACCCTGAACCCTAAACCCTAGACCCTAAACCCTAAACCCTAGCCCTAAACCCTAAACCCTAAACCCTCACAACCCTCAACCCTCAACCGAACCAAGGGTGTATCAGTGGATGGGCGCCAACTTCGACGAAGGCCTTGGGTCCTGCCCAGGGAGCCCAACAACGCTTTAGCCATGAGGGCTTCAAAGGCTATAAGTGATTTATGGCTTTTGGTTCAGGATTTAGGTCATCAGGTTGTTGAAGTTTAGGGTTTAGTTGTTGTGTTTTTGTTTGTAAATTCTGGGGTGTTAAGATTTAGGGCAAATCCTAAACTCTATGAACCCTATCAACCCTCCTCTGAGGTTTAGGCACTTACAAGAGACATGTGGTCAGTTCTCTAAATCACGGTCCCCCTTTTGGATACCCTAAATAAGAGGGGCCGCCTTATAAGGACCCAAAAAGGACCATAGTTTAGCGAAGTGACCATGTAGAGCTTTGGTTCACGTACTCAAGGGCTTAAGGGCGCGCATGTTGCTTCTTGCAGCTACAAATCCTGGAGCTCATTTGCTGAGTTCAGGGATTGTATGGGTTTAGGGTTTAGGGTTTCGTTTTCAGGGTTTAGGGCTTAGGCCCTAAATCCTAAACCCTAAATCCTAATCCCTAAACCCTAAACCCTAAACCCCAAGCGCGCCTCGAGGCCCCCAGCGCGCTGAGGGTGCGGTGGCCGTCCTCGACTACGGCGACGCCACGACGCTGAGCGCGGCGGAGACTCCCCCGAGCCAGGGCGGACGAGTGCTTTTCACCTATAGGTTGGGATGTGCTCCCCTTAGATTAGCAGCCCATAAATAGGGATTGTAGTAGGGGGTACTGCAATCCCTTCTCAGCACTACATGACCCTTCACCGAAACCCTAAACTTGGGATGCTTCCCCCTTATACTAACAGCCCTTCATCGAGGTTCCAATAGGGGGTACTAAGGATTGATAGTATAAGGGGGGAACATCCCAACTTATAGGGGTTGTGGTTTAGGGCTTAGGGTTCGGAAGGATTTAGGTTTGGAGCTCAAAAAACTTGTAGAGCTCAGGGTGCACTGAGCTTAGGGTGCACTTCGGGGTTTAGGGTTCTGGGTTTAGGGTTTAGGGGCTTCAGAGGCTCCAGCAAAAGCATAACATGCGCGTTAGGACACGCCGAAAGTCGTGGCTTGTGGGGCTCGGCGATGACCAGGCTGCGTTATGCGGCCCTGAAATCCTAGACTCTTAACCCTGAGAAGCCCTCGAACCCTCAAATATGCCCGAACACGAAGTCCTAAGCCCTAAACCCTCGTTTTTTAACTACCTCCTGATTAGTAGGTATAACCCACAAAACTGCAGGTAAAGAGAGTCCCAGGTAGTGCCTAAACCATAAACCCTTAACCCAAACCCTAAACCCTGAAACCTAGCCCTGCCACTGCCTTTGCAGAGTACCGTGCTGCCCACACACCCCCTCCCCCCCCATGTCGGTGTTCGGTAACTCTAGAAGGGAATTGCTCAACAGAACCTCCACATCCTTAACCCCCCCCCTTCCCAACCCTAATGCCTGAACCCTTAAGCTCTAGCCCGTAAACCCTTAACTTAAGCCCTCAAACCCTCAAGCGCTTACACCCTTAAACCCCTGAACCCGTAATCCCTTAAACCCCTAAACCCTAAAGCCCTAAACCTTTAAACCGAAACCCTTAACCCGAAACCCTATAATCCCTAACCTTCAAACCCTGAACCCTTAACCCAACAAAAAAACCCTTAAACCCATAAACCTGAAGCCGAGGAACGTCCGGAAGAACTGGACTGACAAGGGGACGTTGGAGACATGGCCTGGCCTTTTTTTGCAAACCCAATTCCTTCAGGTGAAGGGTTAGGGATTTGATGGGTCTGGGTTTAGGGTTTGGGGTTTGGGGTTTAGGGTTTAGGGTTTAGGGTTTCGTGTTTATGGTTTGGGGCCTAGGGTTTAGGATTTAGGGTTTAGGGCTTAGGGTTTATAATAGGGTTGAGGGCAACCTGAAAGCCCCAAACCCTCTCAACCTTGTAGCGCTCGGGGCTTTTGTGGTGAACCGAGAGGGTATATGATGGGTATATGGTTTGGGTCTAGGGTTTAGGCTTCAGCAGGTTCTGCTTCTCTGGGTTTGGGGTTGAGGGTTCGGGCCTTGTTGTTTTTTTTTTTTTTTGGGGGGGGGGGGGGGGGTAAGATGGCACTTTAAAGGCTATGCTGCACGTGCGTGCCTTGTAAACAAATACTTTACAGAGGAAACACACGCAGAATAGACGCAACGCACCCGCGGAATAGAGGCAATGCACCCTTAGCATCAGCACACTGTGTCCTGGGCGGGGGCGCGGAGGGCGCGAAGGGCGCAGAGGGCGCGGAGGGGCGCAGAGGGGCGCAGAGGGCGCGGAGGGCGCGGAGGGCGGGGAGAGCGCGGAGGGCGCGGAGGGCGCGGAGGGTGTGCATGGAGGGCGGGGAGGGCGCGGAGGGCGCGGAGGGCGCGGAGGGCGTGGAGGGCGCGGAGGGCGCGGAGGGCCCGGAGGGCGCGGAGGGCGCAGAGGGCGTGGAGGGGCGCGGAGGGTGTGCATGGAGGGCACCCCCTCCCTTGACCGTGTCGTCTCCGCGGCCTCCCGTCAAAATTCATTCCGTCCGACCCTCCTCCGTTGACCGTCTCCTCTTCGTGGCCTCTTTCGCCAAAAAGCGATCCGATAGAACGCCTTCCGTGTTGAAGCGCCAAACGAGAACCCAATTTCAGAATTGGTTTTCGGGAAGAATCCAAGAAAACAAAGAGCACGCGCAGAATAGACGTTAAGCGTCCAAGGCACGGGGGGGTGGGGGTCCTCCCAAGGGATGTCCTGCAAAAGTATTGAGGGTAAAGAGGGGGTGACACGACCCTAAACCCTTAACCCGTAAAGCCCAGGCCTTGGAATATGACCCTTTGCTGAGGCTTACCAGGATCTTATTTCGGACCATTTTTGTTAGAGGGGTTAAAGGAGCGATCTGGTGTTCAACCGAAAGCATCTGTATCGACGCCCAGGACCTGGCGCGACAAAAGGAAGTGGAGCGTGCACTGGGAGGCTTGCCGCTGCTTGGCGGGTGTATAGGGTTTAGGGTTTATGGTTTGGGGTTTAGGGTTTAGGGTTATGGGGCCTTATAAATATCTGTTGGGTGGGTTGGGTCGTTTAGGAGGCATCGGTCTTGTGTGCATTTCGGGTGTGTAGCCGTCTGCGCTGGACCCCATCTAGCTTTCGGCAGCTTCCGTACCTGCAAGGCGTTTTGCATGGGACGCAAACATCACCACCCTGAGCAGGAGCAACCTGACGGGGCTCTGAAAAGGACTAACAAACACTGTGCCAAACCCCAAACCCTAAAGCCTAAACACGCTAAACCCCAAACCCAAAACCCCAAACCGGTTACTTTGTGGCAGACGCGCAGGGAAGCCATGGCCTCCCACCGAAGGAACCTTGCTGGCCTCGCTGGTCACCACGCTGGAGGCGGCTTGGGGATTGAGAGTTTGAGAGCTTGAGAGCTTGTGGACGTTTAGGGATTAGGGTTTAGGGTTTAATGAGGGTTTAGGGTTTAGGGTTTAGTGTTTAGGGTTTAGGGTTGGTTTAGGGTTTAGGGTTTAGGGTTTAGGGTTTTGCAGGGTTTGGGGTTTTGGTTTTGTGTTTGGGCTTTGGGCAGGCGAGCCTCACGCCCTTAACCCAAAGCCTCGAAACCCTACGTCCCAAACCCTAACTCTACACCCCAACCCCATACACCCTGCACCCTAAACCCTACACCCCGAAGCGTAAACCCGCTACGTCCATACCCTAAACCTTAAAGCCTCTAAGCCTAAGCCTAAACCTAAACCCTAAACCCCTAAACCCCTAAACCCCTAAACCCTAAACCCTAAACCCTAAACCCTAAACCCCTCTGAGCCCTGGTGAAAAAAGGCCTTCGCTCAACAGCTCCCCGAGCAGACGGCCGGATCACTTCAACAGCGCCGCGAGCTCCGCGACCGGGGCGGCAGGGTTTAGGGTTTAGGGTTTAGGGTTGAGGGTTGAGGGTTTAGGGTTTAGGGTTTAGGGTTTAGGTTTTAGGGTCTAGGGTCTAGGGTTTAGGGTTTAGGGTTTAGGTTTGGGGGTTTGGGGGTTTGGGGGTTTGGGGCTTGGGGTTTCGGGTTAGGGTTTAGAGCTTAGGGCTTAGGGTTCAGCATGTCAAGTCCAAGCAATCACTGGGCCAGCAATTGTGTTCACGTAACGAAAAGACACCCAGCCACCCACCCAGAGAATTAAGAACACATGCGGCTACACACATGTGTCAATACTTGTATGCGACAAGGCGCACAACATCAACCATTACCCTAGAAACGTAAACCCACAGGTTCGGGCTTAGGGTGCCTGATGACCCCTTATACGATTCTTGAGGTATCTAGCAGATAAAGATCAAGATTCCTAAGGCAGGGTTAAGGCTTCGGTTCCCTTGCAACCTTCTCAAGCCCGTGGGGTTGAGTCAAATCTAGGCTGACCCCTCCTTGTGGCGATGTGTTGCGACAAAGAAGAGGTCCCTAAACCCTCAACCCTATACCCTAAACCCTACACCCCAAACCCTAAACCCTAAACCCTAAATGAGGAGGCCTTTTATGGCTACTGGAAACTTATCCGTAAGGTCTCTGCGCCGGAGGCCTTTCGCTTGCTGACCAATGGCATGTAGGGCCAGTGCCCAGCAGGAAGGACAAATAAGATGAGTCCCTGACGCCCCCTAAACCCTAAACCCTAAACCCTTAATTCTAAAGAGCCCGGAATATTGTACCCTATAGAGACCCTCAACCCCCAAGTATCCTGAAACCTTCTGTGGCCCTGAACTCGCCTACAATCTATCATAGCATAGCATCCCGACCCTAAACCCTTTACCAGAAATCCTGCAAACCAGAAACCACAAGACCCTCAGCCTTAATCCCTGTCAACCCTATAAACGCTGAACTCCACCAGCCATGAGGCAACCCTAAACCCTTCAACCCTAAACCCTAACCCCACAAACCCCGAGCCATGAAGCAAAGGCGAAGAGGCAGCGAAGCAGGAAGCAGCAGAGCTCTTCGTCTTAAGGTTTCAGGTTAGGGGGTGGGAGTTGAGGACGGGAAGCTTCGTGGGTTTTATCGTTCCCCGAAACTTTATAAGCGTTTCATGGTGTGAGGGTTTAGGGCTCAGGATGCTCCGGGCTATGAATCTTGAACTGAAACCCTAAAACCTAAATCCCCATGGCAAGATTCCGAGACCGGAGAAGATGAACTCCAAAACACGCAGGGTAGATAGGGCAAGTTCTGACCGTCAGAGGCTCTCCTTCTTGGGACCCTAAGTGCAATGTTTGCCCGTGTTGTATCAGGAACTTGCAAAGGGGCATATTGGGGAACTGACCAGGGTTTGGGGTTTAGGGCGTAGCCTCCAGCTTCATAGTAGCTAACAGCTCCCTGTTGCAACAAAGTCCTTCCAGAGCCCCCTGCATCCCTCGCACAAGTAGAGATTGAAATACGGAGGCAAATTGCAACATCAATAAATATACATGCATATATCTGTTTTGACACATGTATATATATATATATATATATTTCTTTTTTTGGGGCTGTTCAGGTTTTGTACATCTGCATCGTAGTTTAGACCAAGAGTAAATGGAGCGAAGAAGCATCATTTCAGGACTTAAGCCACTTTGGTCTAGCCCCTCCGCCCCGCCCCTAGCCCGCACCATAGCTTCTAGACATCCTAACCAGGGTGCCAAGCTGAGGCTTCAGGGTTCAGGGTCCTACTATGCGAGAAACCACACGAGCCACTATCACAACACGAGGAAACCCTACTTGAAGGTCCTGGTAATGTGTAGGGCTTAGGGCTAAACATCTTTTGCAAGTATACACCCCTAAGCAAGGTTATAAGCAGTTCTACGTACAATTTGGACAAGATACAAGTCAAGTTGCCCTATCTTGAAACTAAACCCTAAACCCTGAACCCTATGGACCCTCAACTTTGGCCCTAAACCCAAAACCCAAAATAGCCAACCACGAACCTCAAAGGTCGACGCGAGAGCTCGCGGGGGTGGGTTCTAGCTTGTCAAGGTGCGGTGCACGCCACCCGGGTGCGAACCCCTGCAACCATGTAACCCCACAAACCCCTAAACCCCTAAACCCCTAAACCCCTAAACCCCTAAACCCCTAAACCCCTACACCCATAAGCCCCTAAGCCCCTAAGCCCCTAAGCCCCTAAGCCCCTAAGCCCCTAAGCCCCTAAACCCCTAAACCCCTAAACCCCTAGAACCCTAAACCCCTAAACCCCTAAACCCCTAAGCCCCTAAACCCATAAACCCCTAAACCCCTAAACCCCTAAACCCCAAACCCTAAAACCCTACAAACCTACACACTCTGAGCCCCAAAGCCCTCCAAGGTTTGCTGAGGGAGGCGGTGTCCGCATTGAAGAGGCCAGCTTAGGGTTTAGGGTTTAGGATTTTTAGGGTTTGGTTTTTAGGGTTTAGGGTTTAGGGTTTAGGGTTTAGGGTTGAGGGTTAAGGGTTTAGAGTTTAGGGTTTAGGGTTTAGGAATGTAGCGACAGAGCTTGGGGTTTAGGGCTTGGGCTCAGGGACTTCGACTTAACCTGAACGAAAGAGTTTTTTCCATTGCACCCTAAACCCTACACCTTAAACCCTAAACCCCACCCCTAAACCCGCAAATCCTAAACCCTAACCCTCACCCCCCGCCCCCCCCCCCCCCCCATATAACCCTATGCCCTCCACCCTGCCAGGTGGACAGCTGAGAGGTCGGGACAGGGCATTTAGGGTTTAGGGTTTAGGGTTAAGGGCTTCAACTGCCACAAATAGCCCATTCTAGTTCAACAGGCCACTAGATTGGCATGTTGATAGCATGCCCCAAGCCCTAAACCTTTAAACCCCAAAACCCTAAACCTCAAGAGCCTTGGGCCTTCGCCCTACACCCGAAATGATAAACCCTAAGCAAACCAAGTCCATATAAAACAAGGTATATGTTTCTGTTTTCGGTGAGTGTATATAAGGTTCTGTTTTAATATGGGTGAGTGTATATACCGGGTGTCCTATTGGGATGCAAGAAATATACACCCTACCCTAAACCCTAAACCCTAAACCCTAAACCCTAAACCCTAAGCCCTCAAAGGTCTGAGGTTTGGAATGCGGGGTTTTCGAAGACAGAGACCGACCACCAAAGACCACGGCGCGCAAGGGAAAAGACCGCCGGATGCGATCGGATGCGTCGGATGTAGGGTTTAGGGTTTAGGGTTTGGGGTTTAGGTTTAGGGTTTAGGGTATAGGGTAGGTACTCGTACCCGAACCCAGAGGAAAAGCACTTAAGAAATGAAGTCTGAACGCCCAGTTGGCCGCACGCCCCTGAACCAGCCAAAACATGAATATAGACCTGTATAGGGTTCAGGATGTCTAGGGAGTGTAGGATCCCGCAAACTCCTCAACCCTAAACGCTAAAGGATGTAGGGTTTAGGGTTGCAGGGTTTTGGGGTGAACTTCAGGAACACCCTGAACCCTAAACCCCAGACCCCAAACCCCAAACCCCAAACCCCAAACCCCAAACCCTAAACCCCAAACCCTAAACCCTAAACCCAAACAACTCCAGGGCAAGCCTTGGGGAGCCCCTGTTGAGTCCTTGTAGCACCTTCCTGAACCTTCTGGGGTTTAGGTTTTAGGGTTTAGGGTTTAGGGTATCGGATGAGGGTTTAGGGTCCAGGGCCTACTGGCTTCAGATCCCCTCCCCCCCCCAAAAAAAAGTCAAAAGAAGCACAAAACAAATGTTCTTCCTTATAATCGGGATTATTATGTCGTTTTTTTTTTTTTTTTTTTTGGGGGGGGGGGGAGGGGTTCTAAAGTAAATAGTGGTAAGGCTTTAAGTCCAAACACCCTATGAACCCTTAACCTCCTGCCCCACCCAATGGTGCGCGGGTAGTTGCAAGTAGGGTTCTAGGGAACCTGGTTCTAGGCAAACAAGGTTCTTACCAGTTACAACCCAAGCAACCCCCAGCAACCCAAGCAACCCAAGCAACAGCCCTAAACCCTAAACCCTAAACCCTAAACCCTAAACCCTAAACCCTAAACCCTAAACCCTAAACCCTAAACCCTAAACCCTAAACCCTAAACCCTAAACCCTAAACCCTAAACCCTAAACCCTATACATACATATATATATATAACACCCATTTCTAACCCATGAACCTCCAAGAAGAGCTTGCGTCCTCCTCCGAGGTCGGCCAGCGCGTGCGCCCACACTCGGCGCCCGTCCGTCCCTGCCGGAAGTGAGGCCGAAGAGTCGAAGAGCCCCTAAACCCTAAACCCTAAGCCCCAAGCCCTAAACCCTAAACCTTAAACCCTAAACCCTAAACCCTAAACCCTACACACCCTAAACCCTGAACCCTACACCCTCAACCGCTTCAGGCCCAGGTCTTTTTGGAAGCTTCTATTTTTTTTTTTTGGGGGGGGGGGGGGGGGGCAATCGGATTCCAGTTCATCAGGGTTTGGGCCGCTCAGGGGTGCCTTTAGGGAGGTGTAGGGTTTAGGGTTAATCTTGTAGAGATTGGTGTTTCCAGGGGCAAAGGTTGAAGAGGCGTCTATACACCTACCCTTCCCCACCATCCCTCTCCCGCGGGCCTATACCTCATTCAGGGTATTTGGGGTATCTTAGGTTAGGGTTTTTGGAGCTGGTTTAGGGTTAGACGGTTAGCCTTGCACGGTTTATATTGGGGTTGTGGATATGGGGTGTAGGGGTCAGGATTCTGCCGTGGGGTTGAGAGTTTACGGCCTCAACCCTAAACCCTGAATATGGGCCCCTGTATATACCCCTTGTATATCCTGTACATCAGAACTTCACCATATCAAGGGACCATGTAGTTGCCCTTAGACTTCAGATGGGGTTTAGAGTTTAGAGTTTCGGGCTTGGGGGTTTAGTTAGGGTTGAGGTGTTTAGTGCGATACATCGGTGGCTTCTGGCTTAAGCAAAGCGAAATCGCAGTCCTCAGTTCCCTTTCTCTACGACTTTGGGGACAGTTCTGCCTTAAACTCGAAACCTTAAACCCCAGTCGGAGGTAGACTCCCTCAGACCTAGTTCTAATTACATCGCTGGACCTACTATTTCCCTTCAGCCACTCTGACCGTATGGATGCCGATCGTAAGTTACCTACGTCATGGAGGGGGTCACAACCTACGAACCTGTAAGGGCTTTGGACCTTGAAACCCCTAAACGCCAACCCCCTAAGCCCTAAACCCTCATGCCTGAACAAGAGACTCTTAAGTTGCCTCGGCCCTCGACGCAGCAGCGGCCGGCGGCCAATTCTGCTGCTGGCGCTGCGCATGTACCTGACGATTGAGGTCAGTTTGCTAAGTGGCAGATCGGTTTCACTTGAAGCCGGGCTAGATGAGTCTGTAGAAACATTGCAAAGGAGAGCGCAGCAGACCCTGGCAGTTGGCAGGGGCAGACTCCTGAACTCTTCCGGAGACGTTCTGAATGGAGCAGCCACGCTTCAGGAATCCGGTCTACGGAGTGGCGATGCGCTCACATTGCAAATGAGCTGCGTTCGCGTTTGCGGCAACGCAATTGCCTTTGCTGCTATTGTGGGCGATGGGTCTGTTGTGACTTGGGGTTTTGCTGGGAGTGGCGGCGACAGCAGTGCTGTGCAACGTCAGCTGAAGGACGTGCGGCATATCCAAGCAACTGACTTGGCATTTGCTGCCATTCTGCGTGACGGGTCTGTTGTGACCTGGGGCCGTGCTGAAGATGGTGGCGACAGCCGTGCTGTGCAAGCTCGACTGAAGGATGTGAAGAAAATTCAAGCGTCTCGAAGGGCCTTTGCTGCTATTTTGGGAAATGGGTTTGCTCTGACATGGGGCCATGCTGACTCGGGCGGCGACAGCAACGCCGTGCAGGAACAGTTGAAGGATGTGCAGCAGATCCAAGCTGCCCGCCACGCTTTCGCGGCCATTCTGGGCGACGGGTCTGTTGTGACCTGGGGCGATCCTGAGCTGGGTGGCGACAGCAGTGCTGTGCAACATCAGCTGGAGGGTGTTCGGCAAATTCAAGCAGCCGACCCGGCGTTTGCTGCCATTCTGGGCGATGGGTCTGTTGTGAGCTGGGGAGATCATGGCTGTGGTGGCGACAGCAGTGCTGTGCAACACCAGCTGAAGGACGTGCAACAATTCCAGGCTACCAGCGGTGCTTTCGCTGCCATTCTGGGCGATGGGTCTGTTGTGACCTGGGGCTATCCTGGGCTGGGTGGGGACAGCACTGCTGTGCAAGCACAGCTGAAGAACGTGCAGCATATCCAATCTGACTACTACGCTTTTGCTGCCATTCTGGGCGATGGTTCTGTCGTGACCTGGGGTGATGTTGAGCTGGGTGGCGACAGCAGTGCTGTGCAACATCAACTGAAGGACGTGCATCAAGTCCAAGCTACCAGCAGTGCTTTTGCTGCCATTTTAGGTGATGGGTCTGTTGTGACCTGGGGCCGTGCTGATTTTGGTGGCGATAGCAGTGATGTGCAATCTCAGCTGAAGGATGTGCAACAGATCCAAATTACCAGCAGGGCTTTTGCTGCCATTTTGGGCGATGGATCCGTTGTGACCTGGGGCAATGCTGGTTTTGGGGGCGACAGCAGTGGCGTGAAAGCTCGGCTAAAGGATGTGCAGCAGATCCAAGCATCCCAGTGGGCGTTTGCTGCCATTCAGGGCAGTGGGTCCGTGTTGAGATGGGGCCATCCTCACCGTGGCGGCGACCAAGTCCTCTAAATTCCAATGGGCAGGAAGGGAGATTCGACAGCATCGCCCGGGGAGCAGAAGCGGAAGCCTGGGTATCTAGGGCTTAGGTTCCCGTATAATGAAGCCCCTTCAAACCAAAAGTGCACCCTTTTCATTCCTCGCTTACTCCTGGGTCTAGGCATTGTTTTACGTGGTTCCAGTAAAGGTCTATGGGGCTTTTTCGGAGCTGTCAGTTGGCTGGGTCCAGCTTGGGGTTTTGGGTTTGACTAGGGTTGAGGACGCTGCTACACAATAGCCGGCGGGCGTTTTGTAGAGGTAACTCTTAGGTTATGCCGCGGTTCATAGAACGCCAGTGTGTTGCCAAACTCTGTCAGCTGCACCCTCAACTCCCCAACCCAGAATCTAAAGCTGTTTATGAGGACATTTAGGGCTCACAAGGAGATTTGGGACTTTTGGGGTCCACAGGGTTTGAGGGGCTTTTGGGGATTATTCCTCAACTAGTGTCAACACTAAGGGGGGGGGGGGGGTCCTGTCGCGTAGATTTAGGGTTTAGGGTATAGGGTTAGGGTTTAGGGTATAGGTTTAGGGTTTAGGGTTTAGGGTTCAGGGTTCAGGGTTCAGGGTTCAGGGTTTATAAGGTTTGGGGTTTTTGGTTTAGGGTTTTAGGGTTTTAGGATTTTAGGTTTTAGGGTTTTAGGGTTTTTAGGGGTTTAGGGTTTTTAGGCTTTTTTAGGGTTTTGATAGGGTTTAGTTGTTTCTCGAAGGTTTCTCGTATCTTGGATTAAATCGAACATCGCGTTCTCGCCGAGGCGATGCTCGCCCTCACAGTCACATGGTTCTCTCGCGGTTTTGGGTCTACACTGGCATCATGGGCTTACTTTGGTGTCCTCTCGGGTAACGATTGGACCGCGACGTAGAGCACCGACCATGCAGGGATGCGCCTTGTAGTTGCAAGTACATTGAGGTCCCCTATGCAGGCGCGTCAGTATCGCAAGGACGAAGGAAGCGCCCGTTCTGTACCTTAAGTCCT